GGGAGAACAAGGGAGAACAAGGGAGAACAAGGGAGAACAAGGGAGAACAAGGGAGAACAAGGGAGAACAAGGGAGAACAAGGGAGAACAAGGGAGAACAAGGGGGAACAGGGGGAACAAGGGGGAACAAGGGAGAACAAGGGAGAACAAGGGAGAGGAGGAAATAGGCGTCTGCGATGGCATGCACTGAAGAGGCGCACGCCGTAACTGAGGCGTGGTTGTGGCCCAGATGGGCGAGTAATGAGGGGAAAGGGGAAAACGAAGACGAAGAAGGGAGAACAAAGGAGAGGAAGAGGAAGGTGGTATGGGCTGATGAGGCCAAACTACCAAACTCACCTCCTATAATCACATCATTCACCTCCTATAATCACATCATTCACCTCACCGTCCTTACAAACGTTTAACCCACCACATATAGCAACGTCACATCACCTTGAGGCGGTGGCGGATGCTGATGTGCCCTGCTGCCATGTTGATGAGAATCCGCGGCACAAAGTGCGGCGAGATGCGCCTTGGCTTCTGCTCAGGGGGTAGGACAGAGGGGGGCAGAGTGGGGGGGAAGGGGCAAGGCGGAAAAGGGGGAACTGAATTACTACACGGAGCACGGTAGCCATGCTGATGGGAATCCGCGGCACAAAGCGCGGAGAAATGCGCCGGGGCTTCAGCTTAGGAGCGAGTAGGGCCGGGCGTCACACAGATTCATTATACATTTGAAGGATCGTATCAGGTCATATCAGATCAGATCAGATCGGATCAGATTAGATCAGGTCAGATCAGATCAGGTCAGAATCAGAGCAGATCGGATGGCATCCGATCAGGCAGAGAATAGAGTGACAAACACAGCTGCCGATGTCCTGCCGCTGCCACCTCAGTGATGCTGCCGATGCCTGCCCTCCCTGTGCCCCTGCCCTCCCTGTGCCCCTGCCCTCCCTGTGCCCCTGCCCTTCCTGTGCCCCTGCCCTCCCTGTGCCCCTGCCCCCCCTGTGCCCCTGCCCTCCCTGTGCCCCTGCCCTCCCTGTGCCCCTGCCCTCCCTGTGCCCCTGCTGCTAGCTCCAATGCTCACACCTCATCCATCCGCTCCGATACGAACGATGCACCACCTGCTGCTAGCGTAACCCCCTTCCTGGTCCAATGTACGCACCTGCTCAAACAGTAGGTGGCCTGCTGCTGCCACCTCGCTGATGCTGCCGATACCTCCTCCCACACATACTCCCTGGGTGGTATCGGTGAGTAGAATGAGGGAAAAAGGGGGGATTTGTGAAGGGAGTAACGTGTGCAGGTTGGGATGAAGGAATTGGATCGGATCGGGGGAATAGAAGAGGCAGGTGGGAGGAGGAAGTTGTGGCATGCGCAATGTAGTGTGTAATGTTGGAAAAAAACTCTCAGGGCCAGAAGTGTCTCATGTTTGTATGTGAGCGTGTGTACGCGATACGCACTAAAACATCTACACAGTACACTCACCGTTCTCACGCGGTCCTCCTCCTCTTCAGGCATCCACCGAGCATCCATCATGGCTTCATCAGCTGCTCTTATCGCATGCTGCACAAACCGAGGCATGCCCTCAAGACCTGCATTGGCAGCAGCACTGTCTCCTTCCACTCCAGCATGACCAACAGCAGCAGCAGGACTGTCAGGACGGTCATTAGCAGCAACAGGTGGCGCAGGAGGCGCAGGAGGGACAGGAGGGGCAGGAGGAACAACGCCGGCGATGCGAGAGGGGAGTTGGGAGAGCAGGGCAGCGGCGAGGCTGTCTGTCATGCCGGAAATGGCTATGTCCGATGGGGTCAGGGCCCGGATGGCGCTGCCTCCTCCGCCAATCAGGCGCTTCCACGTGGCAGCGGCGCCGACGCCGAGAGGGGTCACCATGCCAATGCCTGGGGGGCGGGAAGGAGGGGAGAGAAAGGAGAGAAGGGGGAGGAGGGGGAGCGGGGAGAGAGGGGGTGAGAGCGGGTCAGGTTAGGCCTCAGGTGCTGCTGTTTCCGCCAATCGACTTCTGAGTCGTTTTGAAAGGAGGAGGCCCAACAGCGGGCATCTCAGTCAGCAGGAGGGGCGTACTTATGACAACGACCCACAGTTGCAGCACGGGAAGGGGAGGTGGCATCTGGGGCGGGCAGGCCCATGTGCCGGTCACCACCAAATCACCTGAAACGGCCCTGAGCTGAACTGAAAGAATCGCAGTCAGGGAGGGAGGGGGCGTACCAGTGACAACGACCCGCCTTTGCGGCACGGGAGGGGGAGGCGGCAGCTGGGGGAGGTCTTTGTGCTGCGGTAATGGCTGTTGCGGGGGACGTGCAAACGGGGACGATGGTGGTGTCACGATGCTAGTGGAGAACGGGCGGACGGAATGAGGGGACGAGTGAGGCGACAGGGAATGAGGGGAAGGGGAGTGAGGGAGGGGCGAGTTAAGAGATTTGGCGGCTGCTGTGGAGGGATTTGAGGAATTTGAATCCTCAAACGGGCAGGAAGAAGACGAGAGCACGCGAGACGATTCCTGTGCCAACGCGAATCCAGAAAAGGCTGAGATTGCTGCTGCTGCGGAATGGACGGTTGACATGAGCGCTGGATGGGTACTGGCGACAGGATGGAGGGAACGAGCGAGGGCCTGGAGAACGCCGCTGTGAATGGCCATGGTGGTTTGTGTGCAAACTGGCTCACTTCGATTTAAAACTCGAGAGATGTGGGATGGCGAAGGTAGAAGTACAGGTAAGATTTGCCTCGATGGGTGGGATACTGAAAGGATGTGCTGTGCGCCTGAGCAAAAGAACTTAACATAAGACATACGCTGACAACGAACGCGCATGAAATACCATATTCTACCGTCCACACGAAGATGCTGTCTGTATTTGAATGCCCGTCAACTGAGCTCGCCAGGATAACCAGCACTAAAATCTAGCTGCTCTCGTCACGTTATCTGGATGAATTTCTTTCTCACATCCTTCCCCTTCCATCCTTCTGCTGCACTCATACTCGTTATTGGCGCGGAAGAGTAACGTTACACCGGAACTGGATGTAGTAGGCAATTCCAACAATTTCAAACTCTACTGAGTGGAGCAATGTATCAAACAAGTACCTTGCTCTAGTCCCTAAAGATTGGACTAATCTGGTGTACTCTCAGTGACAAATAAACTTTTCCAAGCATTCCTGTCCGTCAGTAACAAGCGCAGCTAAGTAAAGATGCAATACAGGATCCGAGAGCAAGCTTGTTTTGCCCCTTCGGCCAGTAAATTATGTACAAGAACCAAGCTCCATTATATACCGGTACTTCTGACAGTCTTGAGTTTGTGGTGTGGCTACGTGTGAACTTTATCAAGGGTAAAGGAGTCCACGACGTCTTGCACCTCTCGTATAATCTTCTGCGCGTCTTCTCCAGACAATTCATTACTTCTGAAAAGGCTCTCAGCATCTGGAACATCTTGTGGCTGCTGCAAACCGCAAGCTAATAGTAGAGCAAACTCTTTGGATTCCTGCAAAGCAATACGAAGACTCAATAATTGGGCTGCTTGGCTTGAAATGAAGCATTGTTCCAGAAAAATAGGTCTTACCGCAGCAATGTCTTTCGCGTTATCCTGGTGGCGTTGTCGGCTATCAAGTAACAACGAGGACACGATATTCTCTACTCTGGCGGTGATTGTTTCCTCAACCTGAAAGATAAAGCCACTAAAAAACGATTAGAAAATGAAGACACGAAGTTCGTAGCAGAGTTGGGTCGACGATTTGTTCATACTACCTTGTCAAGTTCGTAAAGAAGGTCAAGAGGTGCACGCCGGCGAGCACATCTGAGCCGAATCTCCTTGTCCGCAACCTGGTTTTCAGCCGAGACAATGGGAGAGGGTTCAGTGTGAAGAACCGTCGCTGGGGAAGTCATCCACGGGATTGTTGACAAGGAGAGCTCTCGACGGCATTTTGAGCATCGTCTTGGAAGCTCAAATCGCTAATGCGTCCTCTCGGAAAAGAATAGTCAGACTCCCTGTCGACGTAGATAGCAGCACTTCTACGCTCTCGAAATCCAGATGATGAAGAAGCTTGGGAATCGGTGGAAGGTTGAGAAACAGCCTGATTATTCGCAAACGAGTCGATCATGTCAGACTCTCTGTCGACATAGATCGCAGCACTCCTACGCTGGCGAAGACCAAGAGAAGAATCCATAGATGGCTGTAAAGATAACGAGAAGGGAGTAGAAGTGTGGAATGGCTTGGCACGAGTGGGATTGAGAACTTGGAAGAGAATAGAAGGCTGTCAGACAGCTTTTATGCCAATCAGGTTGATATCAACGCATAATTCTGTCATGTCGAAAACATCGGACTCCTACATAAACGCAGCCTGGGATTTCCCTGCATATCGGCCTGTCAGCGAACGGCTTTGCCCACGCAAATTTCGCCAAAGCCGGAGCCAGGCTACGCCAGCCAAACTTGGTGCAAACCCAATTTCGCCGCCATCACATTCGAAAGCTTCGGTTCGGACTCGGAGCATGAAACCCATCACAAGCCGTCGCGATACAAACCGTGCGCCAATATATAAGAAACCATACTTCAACAATAACACCAAAATTACTTTTAAAAACCTCATGAAGTATATATTGCCGGATATGAAGTAGCACGGCAGAAGAAACATGTTAAAAAATAAATCATTAATTTACGTATAGTGGACGGCTCTATAAGTTCATTCACCTAAGTAGCTTTCCCAAATCTCCTTTCCTTTCATGTCAAACTTCACCTCATCTCCAGTTTCACATTCACCTGCGATTCACCTTTTATCGAGGATAAACTCCGACATTGCGCTCAGCAAGGTAGGTCATCCTTGTCTTATCAGCAGACCAAGCAAGAAGGCTTCGACTTACCTCCCCTCCATCCTACAGCCTGAGCTGTTCTTTCATCCATCCCCTTCGTCCGCTAACCGCTAACACCGCCACCGTTTCGATCACCGCCAGCCGTCACAGCAACCGTCACCATCATCCGCAATTCTCATCCATTTCCATCCTACTTCCGGTTTTCCCCTACCACTTTCTCTGGCTCTTCCATTCCTCAAATCCATTCATTCCTGTCGATTGCAAGAAACAACATACGTGCAACACGTGTCGCACGCGCAGTTGCGCAGTTGCGACCGATCCGTGCGACACGTGTCGCAACGCGACTAGTTGTCGCCGCTCCCGCCAATAGCATGGCGGCGCCGTCCTCTCTGCTCCGAGCGGGCTTCAGATCCGCGCGAGACGCGCTGAGTCGCGGCGAGAGATGCAGAGTAAGACCTGCCCCTCCTCCTACCCTCTGTTCTGTTCAGGCTTCAGAGTAAGACCACCCTTTTTTCAGCTTTAGGCTGCCGGAAATTTCTCCCCGCAGGTGCTACAGCATCTCCAATGGCCCTAACGCGTGTGATTAGTCGATTTTTGAGTCGACTCAAAAGTCACCTAGGTGCCACAGCATCTCCAATGGCTTCAACAAGCCCGACAGTTCCAGCCTTCCGAGCGCTGAATCTGTTTTTTGAGAATTCTCAAAAATCATATTCAGTCTCCAATGGCCCTAACAAGCCTAACAGCTCCGGTCTTCCGAGCGCGCCGAGTTCAGCACTGAAGGTGGTGGTGCCACTTTCGAGAATTCTCAAATAAGGTGACATTGGATGGAAGCGCGGCGTTTCCTGCGCGGCACTCTGCTGCCATGCTTCTCAATCAATCTCTCCACGGTCCACTTGCCCCTCCGCCCACCTTTCTTCACCTTCAGGCTGCTGACAATCTCTTCCCGCGGGCGTTGCAGCAACTCCATCCTTCCGAGCGCGCCGAGTTCAGCACTGAAATTGGCAGTTCTGCCGGAGAAATGACGCCTCCAGCACAACATTCTGCCGCTGGGGCTGCTGCTGATGCAGGAGCTGCTGGTGATGCTGCAGGTGGTGCTTCAAGCAATGCTGCTACAACTGACCCAGCGTCGTCGAGCGGTGCTGCGGTGACGAGCGGTGCGGATGGGTCTCGTGCGGTGCTGGCGAAGCTGCTCAACGTGCCCCGCATGGTGCTCAAGGAGGAGCTTCTGAGGTCCTTCCGCAACCCTGCGCTGACGCCAGCCGATGTGTTCACCGTGCTGGACGACCGTCTGCACACGCTGCACTGGTATGGCGCGGTGGAATGTGGTGCAGTGTGGCGTGGCATGGTGTGGTGCAGTGCAGTGTGCTGTGGCATGGTATGGTGGGGCGTGAGATGGTGGGGTGCGGTGCTGGGTGGTAAAAGGGGGTGTGGAATCTCGTCTGCTGCTCAACGTGCCCCGCATGGCGCTCAAGGAGGAGCTTCTGAGGTCCTTCCGCAACCCTGCGCTGACGCCAGCCGATGTGTTCACCGTGCTGGACGACCGTCTGCACACGCTGCACTGGTATGGTTTGGAGGGATGTGGCGCTGTGTGGTGTGCGGTGCGATGCGATGAGGTGAGGTGGGTACGGTGCAGTGGGATGCAGTACGGTGCTCTGTGGTGTGGTGCGGTGCAGCTTCTGCGAATTAGGCTCATAGTGGATTAGCAGCACTCAAAACAGTTTTGAGTGCTGGTGTGGTGATGATGATGTGTCATTGCATGACCCATTGTGCTTGATGATTGACTGCGCACACTGCACTGGTGGGTGCATGGTGTGCGGTGCAGTGCGGTGCGGTGCGGTGATGCGATGGGATATGATGTGATCTGGTGTTATGTGATCTGATGTCATCTGATGTGATGCGAATTGAGTTGATATGATGTGCTGATGTGTGGTTGTTCAGTTGAATTTCTGGATTCCAAACAGCATGCCTTTATCTCCCCGTTCTCTTTTGAGTCGACTCAAAAGACTTTTGAGTCGACTCAAAAGTCACCTTGTGTGGTTGTTCAGTTGACTTTCTGGATTCCAAACAGCATGCCTTTATCTCCCCGTTCTCTCTCCTCTCATCTCATCCCCGATACAGGCAGCTTGAGTTCAAGTCAACAGAAGATTACAACAACGCTCGGGAGCTCATGGAACTTTACAAAAGAAGGGGGGGGGGGGGGGTGGAGGGCAGGGGGGGCAGCCGACAGGTTATTCCTTTTATCTCCCCATGCACTCTCCGCTCCTCTCCTTCCATCTCATCCCCGTTACAGGCAGCTTGAGTTCAAGTCACCAGACGACTACAGCAAGGCCCGGGAGCTCGTGGAACTTTATAAGAGGGGGGGTTCGCGGATTCGGCTCCAAGAGGTGTGTTTCTGGGGGCGGTGGTAGCTGTGGGTGGGGGAGGAAGGGTGGGTGAGGGTTTGATTCGACTCAGCAAGGCCCGGGAGCTCATGGAGCTTTACAAGAGGGGGATCTCGCGGATTCGGCTCCAAGAGGTGTGTTTCTGGGGGCGGTGGTAGCTGTGGGTGCGAGAAGGGTGGGGAAGTGGGGAGTTTCTGTTTCAGGGGAACGGTGGGGAAGAGTTTGAGTCGACTAACTGGGTGCGTGCAACAGGAGGGGCATGCGGATACGCCTCCAAGAGGTGTGTTTGTGGGGGCGGTGGTAGCTGTGGGTGCGAGAAGGGTGGGGAAGTGGGGAGTTTCTGTTTCAGGGGAACGGTGGGGAAGAGTTTGAGTCGACTAACTGGGTGCGTGCAACAGGGGGGGCATGCGGATACGCCGCCAAGAGGTGTGTTTGTGGGGGCGGTGGTAGCTGTGGGTGCGAGAAGGGTGGGGAAGTGGGGAGTTTCTGTTTCAGGGGAACGGTGGGGAAGAGTTTGAGTCGACTAACTGGGTGCGTGCAACAGGAGGGGCATGCGGATACGCCTCCAAGAGGTGTGTTTGTGGGGGCGGTGGTAGCTGTGGGTGCGAGAAGGGTGGGGAAGTGGGGAGTTTCTGTTTCAGGGGAACGGTGGGGAAGAGTTTGAGTCGACTAACTGGGTGCGTGCAACAGGAGGGGCATGCGGATACGCCGCCAAGAGGTGTGTTTGTGGGGGCGGTGGTAGCTGTGGGTGCGAGAAGGGTGGGGAAGTGGGGAGTTTCTGTTTCAGGGGAACGGTGGGGAAGAGTTTGAGTCGACTAACTGGGTGCGTGCAACAGGAGGGGCATGCGGATACGCCTCCAAGAGGTGTGTTCTGGGGGCGGTGGTAGCTGCACTGCATTGCTGCAGGCGAGGGAACTGTGGGGGAGAGTTTGAGTAGACTCACCATGTGGGTCCAACAGGGGGGGGGGGGGGGGGGGGGGGAACTCGGGGCTGCACCCCCAAGTGGTGTGTTCTGGCGGGACTTTTAGGTCGATCTACAAGTAAGGAACCCATTTTTGAGAATTCTCAGAAATGGCTCCAACAGAGGTGTGTTCTTTTCCGTAAAGAACCCGTGGGCCAGTGGTCACCGTGTTTTACTCATGGGGAGCGTGTGGAATGGAGCGCATTGAAAATGCAGAACCCTTTGGAGCTCACAGCACAGTCAGATGCGGCTTGCTGCTTGCTTTGCTCACCCCCAGTTGTCTCACCAATACTACCATGAGTGGTGGCAGGCATTTCACAAGCAGCATCACAATTTGTTTCTTCAGTTGCCTGCTTGCTTGCCACAATCTCGAACACTATCTACGCCTGGTTTTCTCCTGCTCCCTTCTACTTGCTCTGCTCGCTTCCAGCTGTCTCCCAGGGACCATGAACTTGCGTTCCACAAGAGGCATCACAACCCCTCATGCCTCAACGCCTCACTGCATGTTCCTCCTCTTCCCCTCCCTCTCCTTGTCCCTCGGCCAGCTGTCTCCCAGGGACCACGAACTGGCGTTCCACAACAAGCATCACAACGCCTCATCGCTGTTAGGGCTGCCAAACCACCACCAAGTGCCGGTTCCCTCCCCCTCCCTTTCCCCCTGCCTCGCCCAGCTGTTTTCCAGGGACCACGAGCTGGCGTGCCACAAGAAGCATCACAACGCCTCATGCCTCAACGCCTCACTGCATGGTCCACCTCTCCCTCCCCCTCCCTTTCCCCCTGCCTCGTCCAGCTGTCTCCCAGAGACCACGAACTTGCATTCCACACGAAGCATCACAACGCGGAGCTTCGCCAGTGGAGAGACGTCTCGGTGAGCTGCTGCTTCCCGCTTGCTGCTTGCTGCTTGCCGCGTTGCTGCTTTCTTCTTGTTAGTTGCTACTTGATACTTGCTCTGTTTTCTCCTTGCTGCATGCCGCTTGCTGCTTTCTTATTGCGGCTTGGTGCTGTTGTGTGCTTCTTGCTCCTTGTTGCTTGCTGCTCACTCTTTTTGCCAGTTTTGTCAAGAGCCACTTTCAGTTTGAAGAGTGTGGGGATAGGCCAACTTGTTGACTACTGCTCCTCCCACTTGTCTTAGCCCCGCTGTCTGCGTCTCTGGCTGAATCTCCCCTCTCGTTCCCGGCTGCCTCTCTCCGTTTCACTCTCCTCCTCCTTTATGTCAACCCCTCTGAGCTCATATAATGGGGTTGCCTCACCATGTCCGTCTTCCCTCGCCCCTGATTCCCTCACCCTCGCCCCTCATCCATCACCATGTCTGTCTCTCCATCCGCATTCATATCCTGAGGCAGCCCTATCATATTGAGCTTAGAGGGGGTGACATAAGGGAGGAGGAGGGTAAAACAAAAGGAGGCAACCGGGCACGAGAGAGGAGGTTCAGCAAGGGATGCAGTCAGTGAGGCTGAGGCTAGGGGGAGGAGCAGTAGTCAACACGCTGGTCTATCTCCTCAGTCGTAGAACGTTGCATTTGAGATGTCTCGAAATGCGAGGAGGGGGAGCAGTAGCCAAAAAACTGGTCTATTCCTCAGTCGATGGAAACTGCGCCTCCCTCAAACCCCTGTGCTCGCCTCTCTTTCTCTATCTGCCTCTGTCCGTCTCTCATGAGGGGACTCCCAGACAGTGTGAAATTGGATGGCATAGAGCAGTTCTTTGAGGACTACGTGCTGCACCTGCCCCTTCCCTCACCCCTCTGCCTACCTCTCTTTCTCAATCTGCCTCTGCCCGTCTCTCTCTCCCCCTCTCCCTCTCCCTCTCCATTTCCCCCCTTTCCTTCCCCCGTCTCTATCACTCAGGTCATCGTGACGGGACTCCCAGACGACATGAAAGCGGACGGCTTAGACTAGTTTCTTGAAGACTACAAGCTGCACCCGCACCCACTGCCTTCCTCTCTTGCCCCATCGGCCTCTATTCGTCTATCTCTTTTTCCCCCTCTTCCTGGCTCCCCTCTCAGCTCATCATGACAGGGTTACCAGACGATGTGAAGACGGATGACATAGAGCAGTTCTTTGAGGACTACATGCTGCACCCGCCCTCCGTGTACCACGTCAGGATGTGAGTTTGCCACGTCAGAGTGTGAGTTTGCCACGTCATGATGTGATTTTGCCATGTCAGAATGTGAGTTTGCCATGTCAGGATGCGACTTTGCCATGTCAGGATGCGAGTGTGCCACGTCAGAATGTGAGCTTGCCACGTCAGAATGTGAGCTTGCCACGGCCGATAGTCACGTGATAAAAGAATTGTTTTGAGACGTCTCAAAACAACTCTTTTATAGCATGCCCATGCGGCTGCACATGATGGGCAAGACACGGCCGATAGTGGACCTCGAGCTCCCCCCTTACGCATTCCTCCCTCCCGTCCCCACTCCCCCTTCCCTCAGTCTGGCAGAGAGCACAGGGGAGTCACCACACCTATGCGGCTGCGTATGAAGGGCGAGACGCGGCCAATAGTGGACGTTGTGGGGTGAAAAGGGTCGCTAGTCTGTTCTTCTCTCTGTTGCCCTGTTTCATCTATCCCTTTACATGGTAGAGAGCACAGGGGAGTCACCACACCTATGCGGCTGCGTATGAAGGGCGAGACGCGGCCAATAGTGGACGTCTTAGTTGCAAAAGACGCGTCCTGCGTCTAGGACGCATGCGTCCAGACGCAGGACGCGTACCCTGGACGCCTAGGACGCACCAAAAGACGCAAGCCCGGGCAGGGCAAAAAAAACTTTCGGGCAGGCAAAAAAACTTGGTATAGGGCATGGGGAGGGGGGTGGGGGGCACCTTCCACACACTTTCAAGCCAAAAATTTTCCCCAACAACAATTTTTTCCCCCAAAAGTATAGACTAAGGTGAGTCACGCGTCACATCACATCACACATGTCGCATAGTCGCACACACATTTAGTTTAACCCGACCACTTAGAAACATGCATAGTGAACCGAACTACCACTGCACTACTGCATTGCATCAAGTCCACCATTCACACATCCTCATCATCCTCGTTCTCGTTCTCCTTCGCCTCTTCGTCCATCGCCTCCTGGTCCTTGTACTCGTCGACGCACGGGTCGTCCTCGTCCACCTCCCTCTCCCCATCCTCCTCCAATGTGTAACCCTTGGGAAGAGGAGGGATGGGAATGTTTCCCTCCACTACCCCCGCCCTCCTGACTTCCCCACTTGGTCCTGCACCCTTGTGGTGGCCGTGCACAACCGTCCAGTTGTGCGACACAAACACCAGATCGCGCACCTTCTCCGACCCCAGCCTGTTCCTGCGCGCCGTGTGCACCCCGTCCCACACAGCCCATCCCCGCTCGCACGGAGAAGCGGACACGGCCTGTGACACCGCACGGCACGCAAGGCCCGCCAGATCGGCGTACTCCCAACCATTTACCTTCCACCACGTCACCATGTCCCCCTTCCCTGCCTTCAGATCCGCACGCCCCTCTATCGCCTCCTCTGACCCAAAGGCCCCCCTGCACTCAATGAACGCCAGCATCCCCTCCTACAACCCCTTCATCGTTCCCTTCGTCTCGCCGTCCTGCTTCCAGTACTTGTCGACGAAGGCCCGCGAGCGTGACAGCCAGGCCTTCATCACCCTGGTGCACTCGATGTCCTTGAGATAGATCCCCTCCTCTTGGTTGGCCGGGTTCAGAATCCGGCCTACCACGTGAAGAGGGCAAGCCAAACTCTCATCCCAACGCCGCCTCAGATGGTCCTGCAGCCCCTCCTTATCCGCCTCGCTCAGCGTGCAATCCGCACTCTCCAGCAGCTTCCCCAAGTCCACCGTCAGCTGCAGCATCATGTCGTACAACGCCCCCATCATCCCCTTCGCCGGGCCATCCGTCTTCCTCATCACCTTGTACGGCAGCTCCATCACCTTGCAGAAGGTGTCCACCTTCCCCCACCACTCCACATCCAACACCGCCGCCTCAAAGGTTTTGCCAGTCTGCTGCTTCCTCCCCTTCTCCTCCCAATCCTTATGCGTCACCATCTTAGTCAGCTGCGGCCGAATCTCACGCAGACGTGAAACCGCAATGTACTGTGTCCCAAAGCGCGTGCCCGCCGGTCGCAGCGGTTGCAGCGACTTCTCCTCGCCGTGCAGCTCGGGACACCGCAGGAAGGCACGCGTCCACGTGTGGCTGCGCAGGAACGAGATCATGTTGGTAGCTTTTGGCACGACCTCCTGCGCCCAATCCATGCTGCCAAAGTCCTCCAACAGCAGGTCGAGCACATGAGTAGCGCAGGGGACGATCTCGATGTGCGGGTACTGCTTCTGCAGCTGCTTGCCGGCGGACACGTAGTTGCTGCCGCCGTCCGTGCAAATCGCGACGACGTGCCGCCGTCCGTGCAAATCACTGACGATGAATGCCCCAGTCTTTGTCTCCGCCTTACAATCGACCGCCTCCTGGAAAACCGCGCCTTCGGCGTTGATGCAGACGACGTTCATCTGCGCGCGCCCGCTCTTGTCCCGCATCATGTCGCTGGCGATCGTCACGCCAGTCTCTGCCCAAGTCTTCGTAATCGGCGCCAACCCCTTCTCAATCTGCTGCTTGCACGCCAGCAGCCCCGCACCTCCAACGTAATGACGCCTGGGGGGGACGTAGCCGTGTCCGGCGACGTTAACGGCGCGCAGCATGTTGAGGAAGAGAGGGTGCTCGCACATAGACTCCGCCGTGCGCGTCCCCGCGATCCAGAGGCAAATCGCATCGTCCGCCGCATGCTTCGCCGTCAATCCCCCCTCGCCGTACCAATCCTCCATCCGCCCCTTCTTTGCCTTCGGTCCCGCTCCGCCTTGGACCGCAGTGAGTGCCGCATCCGTCGCCCTCTCCTTATCCTTGCGCGCCGAAATCTTAGACTCTTGGGCGTTGCGAATGGCTTCGGAAATGCGCTTAGGGATCTTCGCGCAAACAACCCCGGCCTCGCGGCGCACGTTCGCGTTGTTCCATTCGGCGAGATGCTGGGTGCACCGGCTACTACTAAAGGCGAAAGTTTTCTCGCACCAAAGACACTCGCATTGCTTCTTCTTTAACTTAGGATCGTCGAAAGTCCAAAAATGCCTATAGATATGGTGCGTGGGGTTTTGCGGTTTCTTCTCTACTCCTTCCTTAGTGAAACGCTTGGGGGGAGAGTCGTCGTCGGGACTAACATTCTTAGATGCGGTGGAAGAGGAAGGGTTGCTGGAGGAAGCCATAACGGAACGGAGTTAGGCTACTAACCTAAAGCCTCAAGGGTTTACCAAAGAGAATTGGGTGGATGGGTTGTAGGAGGGAAAGCACAAATAGACTTGGTTGGATTGCTAAATGGGCTTGGTGGTGGGCCACAAAGGTTGGGTTTTGTAGATGTGGAGTGGTGAAGAGGTTTGAGATTTTCAATTTTGTTTGAGGGGGTTATGAATTGTTGGGGGGGCTGTTTTGAAATGTCGATTTGGCCTTGGGGGGTCGAAATTTCACGATTTCGACTGTCGCGTCGAAATCGCGAATGTAAATTTCGGAGTCGGGAAATTTTTTTCCGGGCAGCCCGAAAAAAATTCCGCGTGCGTCCTGCGTCCTAGCGTCTAGACGCTGCGTCCAGACGCAGGACGCAGCGTCTGATCTGCGTCTTTTGCAACTAAGGTGGACGTTGTGGGGTGAAGGGTCGCTAGTCTGTTCTTCTCTCTGTTGCCCTGTTTCATCTATCCCTTTACATGGTAGAGAGCACAGGGGCGTCACCACACCTATGCGGCTGCGTATGAAGGGCGAGACGCGGCCAATAGTGGACGTTGTGGGGTGAAAAGGGTCGCTAGTCTGTTCTTCTCTCTGTTGCCCTGTTTCATCTATCCCTTTACATGGTAGAGAGCACAGGGGAGTCACCACACCTATGCGGCTGCGTATGAAGGGCGAGACGCGGCCAATAGTGGACGTTGTGGGGTGAAAAGGGTCGCTAGTCTGTTCTTCTCTCTGTTGCCCTGTTTCATCTATCCCTTTACATGGTAGAGAGCACAGGGGAGTCACCACACCTATGAGGCTGCGTATGAAGGGCGAGACGCGGCCAATAGTGGACGTTGTGGGGTGAAAAGGGTCGCTAGTCTGTTCTTCTCTCTGTTGCCCTGTTTCATCTATCCCTTTACATGGTAGAGAGCACAGGGGCGTCACCACACCTATGCGGCTGCGTATGAAGGGCGAGACGCGGCCAATAGTGGACGTTGTGGGGTGAAAAGGGTCGCTAGTCTGTTCTTCTCTCTGTTGCCCTGTTTCATCTATCCCTTTACATGGTAGAGAGCACAGGGGAGTCACCACACCTATGCGGCTGCATATGAAGGGCGAGACGCGGCCAATAGTGGACGTTGTGGGGTGAAAAGGGTCGCTAGTCTGTTCTTCTCTCTGTTGCCCTGTTTCATCTATCCCTTTACATGGTAGAGAGCACAGGGGAGTCACCACACCTATGCGGCTGCGTATGAAGGGCGAGACGCGGCCAATAGTGGACGTTGTGGGGTGAAAAGGGTCGCTAGTCTGTTCTTCTCTCTGTTGCCCTGTTTCATCTATCCCTTTACATGGTAGAGAGCACAGGGGAGTCACCACACCTATGCGGCTGCGTATGAAGGGCGAGACGCGGCCAATAGTGGACGTTGTGGGGTGAAAAGGGTCGCTAGTCTGTTCTTCTCTCTGTTGCCCTGTTTCATCTATCCCTTTACATGGTAGAGAGCACAGGGGCGTCACCACACCTATGCGGCTGCGTATGAAGGGCGAGACGCGGCCAATAGTGGACGTTGTGGGGTGAAAAGGGTCGCTAGTCTGTTCTTCTCTCTGTTGCCCTGTTTCATCCATCCCTTTACATGGTAGAGAGCACAGGGGAGTCACCACACCTATGCGGCTGCGTATGAAGGGCGAGACGCGGCCAATAGTGGACGTTGTGGGGTGAAAAGGGTCGCTAGTCTGTTCTTCTCTCTGTTGCCCTGTTTCATCTATCCCTTTACATGGTAGAGAGCACAGGGGAGTCACCACACCTATGCGGCTGCGTATGAAGGGCGAGACGCGGCCAATAGTGGACGTTGTGGGGTGAAAAGGGTCGCTAGTCTGTTCTTCTCTCTGTTGCCCTGTTTCATCTATCCCTTTACATGGTAGAGAGCACAGGGGAGTCACCACACCTATGCGGCTGCGTATGAAGGGCGAGACGCGGCCAATAGTGGACGTTGTGGGGTGAAAAGGGTCGCTAGTCTGTTCTTCTCTCTGTTGCCCTGTTTCATCTATCCCTTTACATGGTAGAGAGCACAGGGGCGTCACCACACCTATGCGGCTGCGTATGAAGGGCGAGACGCGGCCAATAGTGGACGTTGTGGGGTGCAAAGGGTCGCTAGTCTGTTCTTCTCTCTGTTGCCCTGTTTCATCTATCCCTTTACATGGTAGAGAGCACAGGGGCGTCACCACACCTATGCGGCTGCGTATGAAGAGCGAGACGCGGCTGACAGTAGACCTCGTGGAGCGCCATGTGTGATTATCTGCTGGTTGTCCCCCTGTTTCATCTCACCCTGTGTGCATGCATGGCAGAGAACGAAGAGGTGTTCCCACACCTAAGAGGCTGCACATGAAAGGCAAGACGCGACTGATAGGGGACCAAGTGGAGCGCCATGTGTGATAATCTGCTGGTTGTCCCCCTGTTTCATCTCACCCTGTGTGCATGCATGGCAGAGAACGAAGAGGTGTTCCCACACCTAAGAGGCTGCACATGAAAGGCAAGACGCGACTGATAGGGGACCAAGTGGAGCGCCATGTGTGATAATCTGCTGGTTGTCCCCCTGTTTCATCTCACCCTGTGTGCATGCATGGCAGAGAACGAAGAGGTGTTCCCACACCTAAGAGGCTGCACATGAAAGGCAAGACGCGACTGATAGGGGACCAAGTGGAGCGCCATGTGTGATAATCTGCTGGTTGTCCCCCTGTTTCATCTCACCCTGTGTGCATGCATGGCAGAGAACGAAGAGGTGTTCCCACACCTAAGAGGCTGCACATGAAAGGCAAGACGCGACTGATAGGGGACCAAGTGGAGCGCCATGTGTGATAATCTGCTGGTTGTCCCCCTGTTTCATCTCACCCTGTGTGCATGCATGGCAGAGAACGAAGAGGTGTTCCCACACCTAAGAGGCTGCACATGAAAGGCAAGACGCGACTGATAGGGGACCAAGTGGAGCGCCACGTGTGATAATCTGCTCTCTGTCCCTCTTTCTTCCGCTTTCCGCTTTCTTCATCACCAGAGAGCGCAGGGGAGTCCCCACACCCATGCGGCTACGCATGAAAGGGGAGACACGGCCGATTGTGGACCTCGTGGAGCAGCAGGGGTGCTAATCTGCTCTCTGTCCCCTGATTTCACCTCGCCTTTTTGTGGCAGAGAGAGGAGGGGAGTCCCCACACCCATGCGGCTACGCATGAAAGGGGAGACGCGGCCGATAGTGGACCTCGTGGAGCAGCAGGGGTGCTAATCTGCTCTCTGTCCCCTGATTTCACCTCGCCTTTTTGTGGCAGAGAGAGGAGGGGAGTCCCCACACCCATGCGGCTACGCATGAAAGGGGAGACGCGGCCGATAGTGGACCTCGTGGAGCAGCAGGGGTGCTAATCTGCTCTCTGTCCCCTGATTTCACCTCGCCTTTTTGTGGCAGAGAGAGGAGGGGAGTCCCCACACCCATGCGGCTACGCATGAAAGGGGAGACGCGGCCGATAGTGGACCTCGTGGAGCAGCAGGGGTGCTAATCTGCTCTCTGTCCCCTGATTTCACCTCGCCTTTTTGTGGCAGAGAGAGGAGGGGAGTCCCCACACCCATGCGGCTACGCATGAAAGGGGAGACGCGGCCGATAGTGGATCTCGTGGAGCAGCAGGGGTGCTAATCTGCTCTCTGTCCCCTGATTTTACCTCGCCTTTTTGTGGCAGAGAGAGGAGGGGAGTCCCCACACCCATGCGGCTACGCATGAAAGGGGAGACACGGCCGATAGTGGATCTCGTGGAGCGCCGTGCCGTGGTGCGATTCGCAAACCAGTTGGAGGCGCTGAGAGCGCTGAGAGAAAAGCACCGGGAGTTCGTAGGCGACCGGATGGTGGAACTCAGCCTTCTACAGTAGTTTTGTATTGAGTTGAGATATGTAGAAGAAAGATCAAGGAGCGCCGTGCCGTGCCGTGGTGCGATTCGTCAGCCAGCTGGAGGCGGTGAGAGCGGTGAGGGAGAAGCACCGGGAGTTTCTGGGGGATCGGATGGTCGAACTCAGCCTTCTACAGTGGTAGTTTTTCTCAGTACAGAACTCACTGGGTCTTTCTAGTTGAATGGACATCACCTCATGGAGCGCCGTGCCATGGTGCGGTTTGCCTGTCAAGAAACTGAGCGAGAATGATAGCAGAAGTGATTGCACTAGCAGGCATGGGGAGTACATCAAGGGAAACCCTAAAAGGGCTGTACTCTCTGTTGAGTACCCCACTACAGCCTACACAGCAAAATGCATTTTGACATTGCCAGCCAGCTGGAGGCGCTGAGAGCGTTGAGGAAGAAGCATAGGGAATTTTTGGGCGGCCAGATGGTCGAGCTTAGTCTTCTGCAGTGATCAGTCTATCGGAGCTTTTCAAGGAAGAAACACTGCAGGCTGCTTGTATTGTTGCAGGCGTGCAAGCTTTATAACGGCTGGATTAAATGCAGAAATTCGCCATGCCAACAATCAGTCAGAGTACAGTAGATACTGTGCTCTAATGGCCGAAAACCACATGAGCTGTGATTGCCACCCCGCTTTTATCTCATCCACACTCCT